GAGTGTGACACTGTGCTTAGGGGTGTGACACTGTGCTTAGGGGTGTGACACCCTGATCCAGGTATGACACTGACTTTCAGGTATGACACTGGGATCCAGGAGTGACACTGGGATCCAGGAGTGACACTGCGATCTAGGAGTGACACCGTGCTTCAGGATGTTACATTGTCCACCAGGCTGTCACTCTGTGCTCCAGTGTGTGACACTGTGCTCCAGGCTGTCAGATCCTGCTCCAGGCTGTCACACAGTGCTCCAGGGTGTCACATTGTTCTCCAGGGTGTCACACTGAGCTCCGGGCTGTCAGACCCCACTCCAGGGGCTCAGACCATTGTGCTCAGTGCTCACTGTCCCTGGCAAGTGACTGACCTCCTCTCCAGCCCTGCCTGGGCACCAGGTTTCTCTCTGCGCCCTGCTCTGGAGTTAAATTTCCCTGGAAAATGACCCCTGCGGATGGCACTTGCACAATCTATGATAAAATAATCCCATATATTCCACTCATACACCTCTGTGGGGTATTGTTCAAGCACAGACCCCACCTCAGAGCTGTGCCCAGCTCTGGGGCCCCCAWCACAAGAAGGATGTGGAACTGCTGGAGCAAACCCAGAGGAGACCATGGAGAGGTCTGCTGGTGAAGACCTCTGCTCTGAGGCCAGGCTGGGAGARCTGGGGKTGCTCACCTGGAGAGGAGAAGGATCCAGGGAGAGMTCAGAGCCCCTTCCAGGGCCTAAAGGGGCTCCAGGAGAGCTGGAGAGGGACTGGAGACAAGGGATGGAGGGACAGGACACAGGGAATGGCATTTCCAACCAAACACAGCCTTTTACTGGGAATGGAGTCAGTTCTGCCAGTGTGAGGCACCCCTAYRGCCCCTGCCCTGCCCCAGCCCCAGTGGGAGGTTTCTCCCAGCAGCRGGGGATGGAGCTGTGGCCTACAGGGAAGGATCCAGCCTGCAGAACAACAGCAGCATCAGAGAAGAGCAGGGAGCTGTGAGCCACGAATGGAGCATTCATGGAATATCGCTCCTTCCTCAGCCCATGYATCACCCACAGGCACGCTGGGATTTATCAAAATATCCCCTCATCATTTGAAAGGTTTGTGCAAGGGGATTTCACATTCCAGATCAAYCCCTGACTTTTCCCAGAGACTCCAGAACTCCAGTGGCTCTCCACGCTGGATTTTCTCAGCTCTGGCAGGAAGCACTGTGGATGCACACAGGGAAATGGATACAGGCTGATTTCACCATTTCTGGCGCACTGTCCCTGCAGCAGTGGCAGAGTCCAAGGAACACGAAGCAGAGCTCACTCCCCCTGTCCAGAGGCTCCTCATTCCAGCAGCTCCCTCTGGGTATGCCAAGAGCTTGGTGTTTGGGAAAGGTTTCCCTGGACTGGCCAAAATGGRCAAGCAGCTGGCCTGGCACTGACCAGTAAATCCTCTGTACAGCTCCAGCCTGGGCTCCAGAGGTGTGCAAATACAACAATCACTGTCCCAGAGCTCTGTCCAGGAATGACCTCTGGCTTCTGCTTGAAACAGCAAAATAAGGGATTTCAGGAATTTCTGAACCTGAATCAGGGGAATATTTCCTCCTTTCTATCCTTCTTTCCATATCCTTCCATTCCTCCTTTCTTCTATCTCTCTTTTCTTTTTTAAATTTGCCACTTTTTAATGTAAATTTGTTGCTSTTGTTGTTCAGTGAAGGAAGGAGGAAGAGATCCTGGGATGCTGCTTGTGGTCCCCTCTCACRGCAGGGAACAGAGTCAGCTCCTCCAAAGTTGCATCTGCGTGCTTCTCATCCCTGCTCTCAGGAATGCCCCGGGAGGAGGGAAACTCTCACCAAAAGAGGTTGCAGAAGTGCCAGAAGGATGGAAAAGTTCAGGTGGGTCATCCCCGACAGGTAAAGKCAAACAGGAGGGAGATGCTCAGGCAGAAGGACGCGGCAAATCCCACTAGAGGGCTCACACGCTGCTCCAAGGGGAATCCATCCCTCCAGACACCGGGCAGGTGCCCTCTGCCAGGGTCTGACACAGTCCTGGGGCTCAGAAACCTTCGGGGATCCCTGAACCTTGGCGTTATGTTCTGAAGCAAGAGAAGCATCAAATCCCAGAATCTCGAATGGTTTGGGTTGGAAGGGACCCTAAAGCCCACCCAGWGATATCAGCACGGACACCTTCCACTATCCCAGGTGGCAYCAAGCCCTGTCCAACCCAGCCTTGGACACTTCCAGCTATGSAGGGGCAGCCACAGCTTCTCTGGGACGTCTCTGCAGAACGGCTCCAAAGCATTTCCAAGGCACTGAGTTTGTAATTTCAGCTAGACAAAACCCCAACTGCAGCTGGAATTGCCCAGGGAAGTTTGTTCACACCAGAACATTCTTTCACATTTTAATATCTGACACATTTTGCAACATTTTATAAACATCGCTCCATKACTTTAGCTGCAAATGCAGATATGGGGAAGTTCAGTAAATACAGTCAGGATYTGGAATTTCTGTTGCTTGGTTCATTTGGAATTTATGCAAAATATAAGGAAAATTCTCTTATTAACATGGGATGTAAATTGGGTAAAACTTTACCCAGCATTCCTCTAAATAATCCTCCTTTATTCAGTGGAATTTCAAAAGTGAAGGATTTTTTGTTTTGATTATTTGTTTTGGTTTTTAAATATAATTTTAAATGGGCTTTGCTCTGAGCAAAGTGCTGTCTATGAAGATAAGGGCAGATTTTGAGGCCATAAATTGCATCTGAAGGATTCACAAATTTTCTGCATCTGAATCTTGTACAAATACACAGATCCCATCTTCTCCCCTAAAACACCAATCCCTGCCCTTGTCTGTGCATCCCCTACACACAGGATGCACTTAGCTGGGAAATTCTTTCCAGTTTAGGGCTAAACCAGGGAATCCTGACATGGGGTAGAAAGCTGGGTGGGCTTTTGTGTTGTTTAGCACTTGGAAAGGTTCCTCAAAGACYGTTCCCCACCCTGATGAGGACCAAAACAGCTCCTCATCCCCTCAGCCCTGCTGCTGCTCTCTGAGGGAAAGAGGCAAAGCTGGGCATGGTCCCTGCTGTCCCCAGGTGTGGCAGTGGCAGGTCCCTGGAGTTCTGTCCCTGCCCAGAGCACACACACCCCTGCCAGCCATGGCAATGCTGCCAGCCCTGGTGACAGCACAACAAAGACTGATCCCATTGGAGAGGCAGCTGGAACACGAGGAGAGGGGCTTGAGGAACAGGAGAGAGGCAGGGATGGAGGCAGGGGGGCACTGGGCATTGTTCAGCCTGCAGCTGGCGTTAAGTGGGATTGGGATTGCTATTTGCATTGGGGTAGGGATTGGGATTGGCCACTCACACATGKGTGGGGTTGGCCAGGCAGCTGATGAGCAGGGAAGGAGTGACTGGAGTGGCCCAGTCCAGTCACAGACTGGGATGGACATGCAGGGAAAAGAGGAGGGGATGGAGAAGGCAGGGGAATGTTCTCCTGTCCTGGGTGCACTGGAGCTCCTGTGCTGATGAATTCTCCAGAGGCAGGRTGGGAGCAGTGCATGCTCCTAACACTCACAGCAGCCTTTTCCTCTCTCCTGACAGGGGTTACCCCTCTTCAGAGACACTGAGCACAGAAAAACCTCAGAATTTTGAGTGAGTCCATAAAGAAGGATTTCCTGTTTGCCCAGAACCAACTCCCTTCTGAGGGCCTTTCTTTCCCCATGGCTCCCAGGGCTCCTACAGTTGCTCATGAATCAGTTTGTCCAGGCAGAGCTGGTTCCCTTTTTTGGAGCAGATGAGGAAATGCTCACCCAGAGAACACCACGGAAGGACAGCCCAGGACGTTTCATTCCAGAGTACAAGGAACACACAGACAGCTGCRGTACAGGTACAGACACACTCAGAACTGTACAGAACAGGCTTACAGGACCTGCAGAGCACAGCCAAGGCTGCTCAGAGGATSTGGAGGGCTCCTTTTCCCTGCCAGATTCCTTTGGGACAGGGAGTGTAAAGGGAGGAACCCCTCAGTGTGTGCAGGTCTGACACTGTGGCTGTGAGTAACTGCTGCATCACAGAACCCCAGAAAGGTTTGGGTTGGGAAGAACCTTAAAGCTCATCCCATCATCCCATCATCCCATCCCATCCCATCCCATCCCATCCCATCCCATCCCATCCCATCCCATCCCATCCCATCCCAYCCCACCCCACCCCACCCCCTGCCATGGGCAGGACACCTTCCACTATCCCAGGTTGGTCTTAGCCCTGTCCAACCTGCCTTTGTTTTGAGCAGCCTGGCAATGCTGCAAAGGCTYCTTCTTCCTCTTCCTAAGGAAACCATCCTTGGTAGCCAAAGGTGGCCCCCATGACTACCAAAAAAACCCAAGTGCTACTTTGAGGATTCACCCTTGTCTCTGTGTAATGGTTTTTTTTTTTTTTTCAGAGTATAACTCCTTTTCCCATATTTTAGCCCCAGTTCTGAGATTGGGAACACAATGCAAATACCCACGTGGTTTTCATGAAGTCAAGAAATGATACTGAGGTACAATCAGGCAAGATCRAGTTCAGCCTGTAAATGATCCTCACGAGAGAGCAACTGCCACAAAGGCCTTTATCTGAGGGTGAAATCAGCATCTACTGTACACTTACGAGGAAAAAACAACACACTGCTGTTTGATGTCTTTAACACCATCATCTCTCTACAGAGGGCTGAAAGTGCAAGGCTGCTTTCTGTTTCCAACTCTGTGCTCTGCTGTGTTCTCAGAAACCAGGAAAATGTGCTGCTAAACTCACCCTCAAGCAGAAAAACCCTTGAGGGTTTCATTGTGAAACATTACAAATGTTACAGATGTTTGTGACTTTGAAATTCTAATCACATTTAAAATTAATGTGAACTTTAACAGCTTTTGCTAAACACCAAAAGTGTATCTATATTGTATATATTTTTTTTAAAAAATTGAAATTTTACACCTAAAGATTATGTTCAAGAAGGTAAAATTTGTTTCCAGGCTTTGGACTTGTAGTGATGATTTTCAAAGGGGCAACCTGAGCTGTGATAACAGAACGTTTTCAARTCATTAAATTTCTCATCAAACAAGGAAATGATTCACCTCCAAGTACAAATGCCAGGGGCTGGGCTGTCCTTTGGCTGTGAGCTGGGGAGGTTACACCAGCCCCAGTGACCCTGTGGGGGTTGACATCACTTCTCTAAATGCCCCTGAGCTCCCTGTGTCACCAGTGTCACCTCTATCCACACAGAACAGGTGGGCACAGGCCTTTGGTTTTGTTCCACCTCAGAGACTCCCATAAAGGTCCTCAGTCTCCTCCTTCTTCCTTCTCCATCAAAAAGCTCTCCCATTCCAGAGGTTGGTTAATGCCCTTGTAGAGCAAAAATTAAAAGTGTCCTCCAGTGAAGACCCTGCAGCCCAGCAGCACAGCTTTGGGTGCTTCACTCTGGCAGAAACTCCAATTATTGCTGCATGGCCCCCTCTGTGCACCCCTGGAGCCACATCCGGGGGTGCTGAACTAAGGGGTGAAATTTGGGGTTTACAGCAGCATTTGCAGCATGGGCTCTGCCCTGGCAGTCTCATGGCCCTGTCTGTGCTCATGGAGACTGGGAGGGACAGGCCCTGCAGAGCTGCACGAGCAGGATGCTCAGGCTGTTCACAAATGAGTCACAAAAGAAGGAATTCCAGGAGAGTGGGACTCGGTGCTGCACACAGAGGTTTGTTGATGTCCAGCACAAGAGCACAAGTGGGCAATGTGTGCTTGGCTTTTTTGGGACTCAGAGTTTGGATTCAGGAGTTGGGTTTGGTGATCCCTGTGGGTCCCTCCCAGCCTGGGACATTCCATGATTAAGACTTGGTAGGTGTGGAAGGAGTTCATCCCTTACCTGGATCCGTTCATGTGGTCGTACTCCCGTTTGACGCTGACCCTCACAGGCTGGTTGATCCACTCCTGCTGYGGGGGCAGGGGGTTGATCTTGTGGGGCTGCCCAAAGTCGGGGCTGCCGGAGGCCGTCATGTCCTTGGGGAGCTGCGCGGCCGCGCCGTACGTGGGGTCGAACAGGGACTGGTCGTCGCTCACCACCGACAGAGCCTCCTGGGGAGAGACAGAACCAGCCCTCAGAGCCCTGASCAAAGCAGGAACTGCCCTCTGGTTCTCCCTGGAGCTGCTGGGAGCACCTGCAGGGCCCGGCAGCTGCCCCGTGCTGGCTGCCACTGCCACCTGCCAGGGGAACACAGACAGGAGCCCCTATGCAAACCAGGCCTTGCTCTGCTCTGCTCTGCTGGCAGCAATTTCCACCTGCCAGGGGGAATCAGAGCCCCGGGGTCCAGGAGCCCCCTCTGCAAACCAGGGGTTACTCTGCCTTGCTTTGCTTTGTTTTGCTTTGCTTTGCTTGATGCAATTTCCACCTGCCAGGGGGAATCAGGGCCCCAGGGTCCAGGACCCCCTATGCAAACCAGGGCTTGCTCTGCTCTGCTCTGCTCTGCTCTGCTGGCTCTGGGTGTGAGCAGCGTTCAGGTTCACTGGACCTCAGCGAACAGTGGAGGAGCTGCTGGGGCTCTGTCACCTCCCAGGGGCTGTGTCACCTCCCGGGGACTGTGTCACCTCCTGGGGGCTGTGTCACCCCCAGTCCCAGTGGGTCACCTGCCTACCTGCTGCTCCAAACGCCACTAATGTGCAGTGGGAACACCTCTGGAGTGGCATGTGAAGGTCTCTGCCTCACCTTTCAGAGGGTTTGTGTGCTGTTTGTGTTTTGAGGTTGCTGCTGAAGGAGAAGCAGCCAGAGCAGGTCAGAGTTATGGGCGTTCATGGTGGGGGAAAAATGCATTACTTTACACTTTCTGTTGATTTTGTGGGAAGTGTAGGGCTGGTGTGTTACCCAACTGTGAATTTCTATAAATGCTTAAAAACAGGAAATTGTTATCCTTTTTCTTTTCTAAATTTTTCCCCCCTTGCTGAAACTCCAAATGTTAACAAAAATTTCTGGCTGTGGATTTCCTTGCATGGATGTGCTCAGGTTTTCAAAGTGAAGAGCGCCGAGCTCCTGACRGCTTTGGCACAGCCCTGCCTGACTCAAAGTGCATCTGTTAAGAGCTGCCTGCTCTGGARGGAGCTTAGTTCACCACACACAGCACAGCTGCCTTTCTGAGTGGCAGAAACCGAAGGAGGAACCTCCCGCACTGAAAGCAGCCCCCACTTTAATGTGAGCTGATGGAGCAGACTCCAAAACAAAGATACAAAATCACCCAGGCTGGGCACTGAGCACTCCAAAGGCACCCAGCAGTGCTRTGTGGGCAGCAGAGGGTCACTGAACACACAGCTGAAACCTGCTGAGTTTTAAGCCCCTGTGCTCAACATTCACATTTAAAAATAAGAAAATATTGCCACCCCCACCCCCCCGCCCCCCATATTTTTTTTGGAGGTTTGTTTTGTAAATTATTCCATAACCAGGGAGGGAAACAGAAGTTGTGAAAGCTTAGAGAAGTGAAGCTCCTGGAACAACATGAGAATCTAAGCACAAATCACATACCAGCAGGCTCATGATACCATCACAAAAACTGTCAGTAATCCAGAGCCTGCTGGGTAACCACGAAAAWCCCCCTCAGCCTGAAGTTAACCCACTTAGAGAGAGCCAGGCCAGTGCTCTGCAYTTACAAAACCCAGTACTTTTCTATCTCTGATCACAGATCATCTAACAAACCCAAATAAGCCAAAGTGGCCTAGAACTGGAGTGAGCCTGAGTATGCTCGAATTCACAGGAATCCTCAATGATYTGCACAAATTTTGCTGAAATTCCAGTACTTGCTGCAATTTGTGATCAACCTCTCACACTGATTACAGCCAATAAACCACAAAAAGGAGGGTTTTACCCCACTCGGTCCAAAAAGGAGCTCATGCTATATTCAGCCTTTCCAGCAGCTTTTCTTATGTGGATTCACAACCTTTCAAAAATACCCCTCCCTTCTTCAGATTCAGAGTAAGGGAGGAAATGGAAGGTGTCCCTGGGAAGGATTGGTATGAATTGTGTCACAAACCTCTCAGTGGGCTGGGATTGTCACCAGGCTACAAACTTTGCCTGTGAAGGAAGGTACAAGAACAAGAGATGGTTCAGTCTTAAGAGAACAGTCTTAAAAGAGAAAAGTCTTCCCATCAGAGGTCAGGACAGAGGGATTTGCTACTCCTCTTATTCACTGAAGTCAGGATGTCAGGCAGAGCATCCTAAATGACACATTTTCTCCAAGCTTCCTCTTGCTCTCTGTTCAAAAAGTGTGGGGTTCCCTACTTGAGGTGGAGGGTGAACCTCACACTGGGGTGCTGGACTGGCTTAGGGCCCTCTAGACCCAGTCTCAGCTGGACAGAGACAAGGAAACCATGAGTAGCACTGCAAATTCATCAGATAAGAATTCTGAATGTCTGGGTTTGGAGATTTCCACTCTAAAAGCATACTCTAAACACATACACAAAATTGGGGGTTTTCAGGGAAACAATACCTGAGAAAAGGACTATGACAGTTATCTCACAAAACTAGTGGTTGCTCACRAGATTTTTACTGAAACTTTAGCAGGACTTATGCAGGTATTGGGGATTCTTCTGAATTCAAGCTTAGTCAGGCACTCTTAATTCCAGGGTGTTTTTTCTGCCTAAAGCCTTTTTTCTTCAGAAGAAAGGTTCTGATGGAAAAGAAATTCGAAAGCAGGGGTCTCTCTGGCTGTCCCAGAACACCCCAAACTCAACAACACTCCACAGTAGCCTGGATCAATGGCTGGGTTTGCACAACTCTTTACACACACAATCAAGTACGCATTTCTCTGTGACACAGAGTATGTGACACACAACTTCCTCAGATAAAGATCTTCCTTGAAAGACAAAGCGGCTGCTCAGCCCTGCCTGCATGCAACTGGTGTTAACTGGGACAGCAATAACCTCACTGGGGCACTGGGACCGAGCTCCACCTTGTGCYGCTGGGATAATTTTAGTCCTGAAAACAGAAGAAATCCAAACGCTSTGGCAGCTCCTGGGCCGGGAGCAGTTGGAGCTAAACCCGAGCTGGTGGCAGCACAAAGGCTCAGCTCCAGGGGAGCCGAGGCACCCCAGCAGATGGGGGGGAAAGGACTGGGGCCACCTGCTCAGCCCCGGCAGCGCGACACGGGCAGCGCTGGGGACAGCGGGGGAGGGCGGGTGGCACGGAGCCAGCCTGTGCCCGCAGCCAAAATGAGAGCAAGCGAACACCGGGGGCAAGCAGCAGGCAGCCTGTGCTGGGACCAGCCTGTGCTGGGACCCCCGGGGAAGGTGAGGGCTGCCCGGGACTCCCCTGAGCTCTCTGGAAGCGGCCAGGGCTCGGCTGAGGCTGCAGGAGCCATGGGCAGCCCTCCCTTACGCTCCCCGCCCGGCTCTGAGGGCTCGGCTGAGGCTCCAGGAGCCATGGGCAGCCCTCTCTGCCCTCAYCCCGGGGCTCTGCTCRCCCGCCCGGCTCTGAGGGCYCGGCCTCCCCAGGAGGGCTCGGCTGAGGGCGGGGAGCAGCAGCTCCATGGAATACCCAGCTTCTCTCCGCTGGAATGGAGAGCTGCTCAGAGTTTGGAGAGCCTGGATGAACGCTCCGAGGTGTCCCAGGTGCCAGCACAGCCTGCCCAGACAGGGCACAGCCCAGCAGGCTCCCCCAGGCCGCTGCCTCGGTCCGTGGCCTCGGGCCGGCCTGAGGCTGACACAGGGGCTGTGTGTGTTGCTCTGGCACACATGTTATGTTATAGCACCGCTGGGAATAGGCTGGCCTCAGTTTTTCCAGGTTTTAATCACATTCCTGGCATAAATGTGGCCAGTCCCGGCCATGGCAGCTCACAGCACGTCCCTGGGCAGCCCAGCAGTGACTGCCACAAACGTGGCTCCCACGGAGCTGGCACGCATTCCTGCATCCCTCAGGCAAAGATCTGTGGCGTGGCTCTTATTTATACAGCAGTTTCCAGTTGTAAGAGGGTGAATGTGCAGGTTTGCCTGTATTTGGATGAGCCATCCTGAGCCAGGTCCCAGGTGTGAGAGGCCACAGGGTGAGGTTCATTTTGGCTTTGGTCCTGTGGGCAAAGGAGCAGCCAGTCTGAGCTTCTGGGAGGGCTGACAAGCCATCAGCACTTCAAGTTTTCCTGATCCCTTGCTGTGAAAATGAGGTGACACACACACTTTAGCAAAGGTTTCATTTAGTTAATGAATTGAACGGGACATCTGAGAAAGGAGAAAGGCCAGGGGAACCAGGGCTGGTGAGATGAGCACTCAGTACTGTCACCCCAGATGGCCCCAGGAACTGAGCTTATTCCATGTGTGTGCAACAAGATTTCACTGAATATTGACTTTAAGCTCTCTAGATTCACTTTTCTGGCCATAACCACATTTAAAAGGCATTAAAGATCAAAGCTTCATCCTCCTCCACAAAGGCTGACTTAGAAGAGAAGAAAGTGCTGAGTACCTGAACCATTGCACCATGGAGAGATGACTCCATCTCTAGAAAGGTGGCTGTTTTCTTCCCTYTTTCCCCCCCTCCCCAAAATTTCACCGCTCCTGGTCCTGTGAGAAAATCACTCCTGAAATGTTTATGTAAAAAAAAATGTTGCCAACAGAGACCTGAAGAGTCCAGACCCAATGATGCAAAGCACCAAAATCTGAGGTCCAGCAGCCTCACACAGCCCAGGGTTTGCACCGAGGAGCAATTCTGGAGTAGAAATTACTTTGGCACTGCAGTGTCACAAGTCAGCATTTCTGCTGCCAGCATCTCCTATGAGCACAGAGATAACATCAGAGTAACAAGAAAATGAGTCAAATAAGAAATTCACARAGGAGCAGGGTCTGTGCTGATCTTGGGGCAGCACATTGGGATGGATTGGGCCCTACACTGGAAGGATGTAAGGCAGAGTGTGGTTCTCATCCCTGCCCTCAATCTTTGGCATAACCTTGAGGGGGCATTTCCCTCTCCAGGCCTTTTTCCTTCTCTATTGCCCTGTTCTGTGCGTGCTGTGGGGCACAGAGCCTCGGCCACWGCTGCCACTGGGACAGAGACTGGAATCCTTTGGATACACTCTCATATATCCCCTCTTCCCTTTCACCTCACC